TTTGGACCAGTGGTGAGATCTGACCTTGGACCAGGGGTGATATCTGACCTTGGACCAGTGGTGAGATCTGGCCTTGGACCAGTTGTGAGATCTGACCTTGGCCCGGTGGTGAGATATGACTTTGGACCAGTGGTGATATCTGACTTTGGGCCAATGGTGAGATTCGACCTTGGACCAGTGGTGAGATCTGACTTTGGGCCAGTAGTGAGATCTGACCTTGGACCAGTGGTGAGACCTGGCTTTGAGCAGTGGTAAGATCTGACTTTGGACCAGTGGTGATATCTGACTTTGGGCCAGTCGTGATATCTGACTTTGGGCCAGTGGTGAGATCCGACCTTGGACCAGTGGTGATATCTGACTTTGGGCCAGTCGTGATATCTGACTTTGGGCCAGTGGTGAGATCTGACCTTGGACCAGTGGTGAGATCCGACTTTGGGCCAGTGGTGAGATCTGACCTTGGACCAGTGGTGAGAACCGACTTTGGGCCAGTCGTGATATCTGACTTTGGGCCAGTGGTGAGATCCGACCTTGGACCAGTGGTGAGATCTGACTTTGGACCAGTGGTGAGATCTGACTTTGGACCAGTGGTGAGATCTGACTTTGGACCAGTGGTGAGATCTGACCTTAGGCCAGGGATGAGACCTGACCTTGAATCAGTGGTGAGACCTGGCTTTGGGCAGTGGTAAGATCTGACTTTGGTGAGATCTGACTTTGGACCAGTGGTGAGATCTGACCTTGGACCAGGGGTGAGATCTGATCTTGGACCAGTGGTGAGATCTGACCTTAGGCCAGGGATGAGACCTGACCTTGAATCAGTGGTGAGACCTGGCTTTGGGCAGTGGTAAGATCTGACTTTGGTGAGATCTGACTTTGGACCAGTGGTGAGATCTGACCTTGGACCAGGGGTGAAATCTGATCTTGGACCAGTGGTGAGATCTGACCTTAGGCCAGGGGTGAGACCTGACCTTAAATCAGTGGTGAGACCTGGCTTTGGGCAGTGGTAAGATCTGACTTTGAACAAGTGGTGAGATTTGACTTTGGACCAGTGGTGAGATCCGACTTTGGGCCAGTGGTGAGATCTGACCTTGGACCAGTGGTGAGATCTGACCTTGGACCAGTTGTGAGATCTGACCTTGGACCAGTTGTGAGATCTGACATTGGACCAGTGGTGATATCTGACTTTGGGCCAGTGGCGAGATCTGACCTTGGACCAGTTGTGAGATCTGACATTGGACCAGTGGTGATATCTGACTTTGGGCCAGTGGTGAGATCTGACCTTGGATCAGTTGTGAGATCTGACCTTGGATCAGTTGTGATATCTGACCTTGGACCAGTGATGATATCTGGCTTTGGGCCATTGGTGAGATCTGACCTAGGACCATTGGTGAGATATGACCTCAGACCACTTGTGAGATCTGACCTTGGACCAGTGGTGAGATCCAAC